GGGAGAGGGAGAAGCAGGCTCCTCGCTGAGCAGGGAGCCCAATGTGGGGCTCAATTCCAGGACCCTGGGATCATGACCCGAGCTGAAGGCAGACGCTTAACGACTGAGCCCCCCAGGCGCCCCTATAGTATTAGGTTTTATATTTAGACCTAAGGTCCGTTTTGGGTTATTTTCTGTGTGACACGAGTGACAGATCCATGTGTGTGTGTTGTTTCTGCGTGTGGGTGTCCAGTGTGTTGAAATCTGTCCCTTCCACAGTGTTGCTTTTCCACTTTTTCATCAGTTTTGGATATGTAAGCTCATTTCTGGGTTTTTCTGCTCCTTGGTCTGTGCTCTTGTGCTCCCTTGGGCTTTGCGGGTGAAATTAAGGGGTGCAGCTCACTCTCGTGTCCCTTAGTTGTTTGGCTTTTTTTGATCGTTAGTGTTTCCGTGTGACTTGTACAATAGGATTGTCGTTTTCTACACAATGTCTCGTCCGGATTTGGGTTGGGACGGTGCTGACTCTGGGGGAGTCCGCATCTCGGTGGTTCCGGGGTTGGCGCCTGGGGCCTCAGCATTCGCCCTCCCGCTCAGGGTGTCTGTGCCGCTGCTGAAGACGCTGGACCAGATGCTCGCCAATGGGTGCTTCAACCTCTTCACCGCGGAGCAGGAGTAAGTACGCCCCGCTCGGTGCCTCTGTGCTGGGCAAGCCTCGCAGCTCGCCCCGTAGAGACAGAGCGAGGAGAAGCAGAGGTGAGAATCCGGAAGGTGACTTCCAGCACGTTCAGGTCTGGTCCGTGCCGGCAAGAGGCTTTGGCTGCCCCTAGTGAGGTTGGGGCTGCGCCTCCGGCCAGGCTCCTGCTGTGGCCCCTGACACTCAGGTGGGAAAAAACCCGAGCAGGTGAGGTAACCACGCTGCCCACCCCGCCGACCAAAGGGGGCCTGGCAGTCAGGGCGGTCATGGGCAGTGGACCAGGGTGGAGACGGGCAGTGCAGAGCGTCGCGACTGTCATGGGAGGACCGAGTGGGGCTGTGGGGGCTGGCCGGGTGTGGGCACAGAGGGTGGGTGTGTGCAGGGACACGGACACACGGCAGCCCCGAGTCTGCTCCTGGCCAGTGAGCTCTGGTGTGTGGGCTCACAGTGGCTGGTTTATCTTGTTAGGAGCCTGAGGACTTTCCTTGGATCCCAGACCTTGAGGGCTTTGCCCCTGGGCTGGGCATCTTATGCCCTGGTGGCGGAGGGGGGGGCTGGAGCTTCCTTCTGGGCACGTTTCAGGGACTTGGGAAGAGCTGTGCCAGGTGGGCCCCGCCTGGTGTTTTCCCACGTTAATTGTCTCCCACTCTGTCCCGCCCCCCCGGGTCCGGCCCGAATCTGGGGTCCTGCTTTTCTGTCTAAAGAACATCTCCCAGAGGAGATGGATCTTCAAGGCTGTAACCCAGTGGAAAGTCCTCAGAGGGTGGGGGGGCATATGAATCCATATGAGGCATATGAGGTCAGCAAGGGAGCGGGTGTAGACCAAGAAAAGCCCCAGTGGAGCTGTGGGGTGTCCTGTTGTTAGGACGATGGGGAGCAGAGCCACGGGGAAGTAGGCCGAGTTGGAAGAGCACGTCACAGTAGGTCATCAGTGGTGTGAGCCACGTGGTCACGTAGGTGGAGGACGTGGTGGTCACTCGGTCCACAGCAAGCCTTTCAGTGAGCTGTGGGGAGACGCCGGAAGAGGGGAGGGGGCTGGAGGTGCATACCGACAGCTCTGGGTGACAGGGACCTGGAGGAGGTGAGCAGGGGCACCAGCAGGGGGAGGGAGACCAAGGGCCACTTTCCCTGAGGACAAAGAAGAGGGAGCGGGGGCAGTGGAACCCCCAGCAGCGGCTTGGAGAGGAGGACCATGTCTGTGTCGTTGGGAGCCTTGCTGGCCTTGCTGGCCTGGCCCCACGTCGTCCTCAGCTGTGCAGAATGGAGGAGGACGTGTGTCCGTGCTCTGGCCACTCCTGGGCTCTCCTTGGACCCGGGAGCTGGGCCTGGTTACAAGCTGGTCATCGCTTCCTTTGATCCCGGGCTGAGCCTGCACTCGCTGGACTTGCCGGGGACGGGCTGTCTGTGTGCCCCTTGGTTGGTGAGGGTGGGGGGGCGCATGCCGGAGACAGGCACTGGCAAAGGAGCCAGTTACTGTGGCTGTGGGCACCCCTGGGGGACAGGGCCCTCTGATCATCTGGTGGCCGCGCCGTCGCCGGATGCCACAGCATGTCCGTGCGGCACATGCTCGCTGGAAGCTCGTCTCTGGCATCGTGTTCTTCCCTTTTAGCCACCCCTTCAGTGTGAAGCTGCTCGCGCTTTGTAAGGAGGAAATCAAAAAGTCCAAGGACGTGCAGAAACTGCGGTCTAGCGTCGCTGTGTAAGTTCTGAGTTCCCGCTGTGATGGTGAAGGGAAGGGTGGTCAGGAGGGAGAGATGCGGACTTCGTCTTAGTCTCAGTGCGTCTGGAGCTGGTGCTGTGATGTCCGCGGAGAACACCTGTGTCTCTCGCAGGGGTCAGCTGCGACGGCCTCCTGGGAGGGGCTGTGCCTCGTTTTGGGGAGCGTGCTCACGTGGGGCAGGTTTTCACGGAAGCAGGCCCGATTGCCCCGAGGCTGGAGGTCAGTGTTGTTGCAGGTTCTGTGGGATGGTGCAGTTCCCGGGCGACGTGAGGAGGAAGGTGCTCCTGCAGCTGAGCCTTCTGCTCTGCCACCAGTTCCCCGTGGTGAGTGTGTGCGCCACCGCTCCAGGCGTCTTCCGTGGTGGCGCCGTGGCCCTGACCCCTGCAGCGTGTGCGAGGGGGCCCTGGGCCTGACAGCACCCTCACTCACGCCACCTGCCCAGGTCAGCTGTCCTGCAAATTCCATTTTCCACTGGCTAAAAAACGGTCTTCAGATAATCCCAATGTGTCATTTTCCTAAAAGGTACAAGTGACATTTACACCTAACCCATTGGCTCAAAGTGGGGCCCAGTGTGGGCCCGGCTGCAGCAACCCCCCATCAGAAATGCGGGTTCTCAGGCTGCCCAGCCTGCTCAGTTGCCCTGGCGTGGGCCCCGGGGCTTCTGAGACCATCCCACCCCATGAGCGGAGTTGCCGGTGGGCAGCTAGGGAAGAAAGCAGGTGAGGCAGCCTCTCTGACGAGGGGCAGGTTTTCCATGAAGCATTTCAGTCAGAGCAAGGTGGCCTGGCTTCTCCCTGATGAGGCTGCCATGGGGGCGGCAGGGGAACGGGGTGGCCCGGGCCACAGCCTGCGGGGTCACCTGTCCAGCCGTGGCCAGGGTCTCCTGAGCCAGGATCCCAGGTCACCTCCTTACTTTTAACAGCCTGCATGGTGCCCAAGCAGGTCTCAGGTTCCATTTGGACCCGGGGTTGGCTCCCTGGTCAGGGTCCTGTCACTCTGGGTTCTCATGGGTCTTTCCCTCCTGTTGACGTGCTCCATCCTGCCCAGATCCGGAAGACCACGGCTAGCCAGGTGTACGAGATGCTGCTCACCTACGGTGACATCATGAGTGAGGACGTCCTTGATGAGGTCATGACTGTGCTGGGCACCACGGCCTGGTGAGTGCGAGGCCCCTTCCTGTCTTCCTGCCGGGTTAGGGGCGGCATCTCGGTGAATGGGGATGTCCAGAATCTCCCTTCCTGTCCCCGAGGCCTCCCCCACGAGGCCTCCCCCACAAACCCTCTGAAGCGACAGGGAAAGCAGGGGTCCCGGCCCTCGACACCTCTGCTCTGAGGAGGTGGTGACCTTGTGTCTGCCCACAGGTCCCCACTGATAACCCAAGGGGCTGGGCAGGCCCCCTGGACACAGGGCAGGGAAGGGGCGCCTCCTGTTTAGGTGGGAAGATGTTCAGAGTGCAAAGGTGGGTGGTGCTGACCACTGATGGTGTTTCTCTCGTTGGGCTGCTTTCGTTGACTTAATAGCATCGCAGGCTCTTGGTGCTGATGGGGTCACTTCAGGAATGGCTCCCCTGCCCCTGAATGGCAGTGTCAGGAGTGCCAAGAAGGGAGTGGTGCAGGAGGCCGTTTACCCTCTGCGGGGACGCGCTCGCATGGTGGCCATGGCAGGAGGCCGTGGTGGGACATCAGGAAGGGTGGAACAGGTGCCCCCTGTCCCCGACATCCAGTTCTTTCTTGGGGCACCCAGGGCCATTGGCTTCTCCTAGGTCCCTCAAGGCAGAGCTGGGCCCCAGACTTGTTCCCGGTGCAGTGTCCTGTGGTGTCTGTCGGCTTTTAGACTTGATGCGTTGGGACGGCAGGGTTGAAGACGTGTGAGGAATGGGGGCCAGGGCTAATGGAGGAGGGCACACGGGCAGCGTGTCTGAGAGCAGGAGGGTATAGCCTGGGGCGCACCGGATAACGAGTCCCAACAGACACATGGGGGATACCCACTACGGTCCAGGCACACGCTCAGCTGCGGGTGCACCCCTACAAGGCGACCCCTCCCGTACCCTCCCCACCCATCTTGGAGAGGTCAGGAGGTGGCCCCTGGAGGCACCAGTGGTAAGGGGCCTTTGTGCCGATGGTGGACTGGGCTCTGTTAGGGTCCCCACGCTCACATCAGCAGGCGAGGACACGCGTACGTGTTTATGTGCGTTTCTCTCGAGATTGTGATGTTCCTAAGAGGGCTGAGCTGTGCACAGAGCCTCAGGGGCCGGCTCCCTGGCTGGGGTGTGGACAGAAAAGGGTCTTTAGTTCTAGGGCTTCCTCAGGGTTCTCAGGGAGACATTTATCTCGGGGATGAGGGAGTTCAGTGAACGCCTTTGCGGGAGCCGCTCATGAAAGCTCCAGAACAGAAAACATGGGTGCCCCCGCTCTCTGAGCAATGGGCTGCTGACCCGACCCCGTTCCCCAGGGCCCGCTCTCTTCGGCGTCTGTGGAGAGAGTCGTGGTTCTTCCTGCGGCGTGCGCGGCCATGCGGTCAACTTCACAAACACAAAGGCATCTAGCAGATGCGATTCTAAGACAGCCTGGAAGGGGGGCCTGGTGCTGAGGCGCCCGGTTGCTCCTTCCTCCCCACGTGGGGCGCACAGGGCTCTTTCCTCACAACCCAGTCGCTTTCTGTTGAAGGAAATGCCAAAGGATTTTACAGTAATTTGTTTTTTTATTCTAAAAGAAAAAGATAATTTAATCTTTATTTTTATGAAAGGGATAAACAGCTTTCAGGGGGTCAAATAAAACTTTAAAAACCCACCTACCCCACCTTTCCAAGTCTCAGCATTTCTGGAAGTCTGGGGGCCACCTGTCTGGGGCCACGCCTCCCTACGGGGCACCCCCTTTTGGGGGCTCCTCCTCCATAGTTTCCCCAGAAGGGTGCCAGGAGCAAGGGCTGTGTATCACCCACACCCGAGCGAGGGTTTTCCTGGTGCCGTTTTCCCTGGTCCCCCCACCGCAGAAACTAAGATGCTGGGGTTCTGCGCACCCGGCAGGCAGTTGCCTGCGAGTTTATGGCTCATGACAGGCTTAACTGCAAGCCGACCGTCCCCGCTGCTGAAGCTGCTCTTGTCCTCTCTTCCCCAGGGACGCGGAGCTCCCGCTCGTGAGAGGCCAGCGGAACCGCCTGTGTGACCTCCTTGGCGTGCCCAGACCTCAGCTGGTCCCCAAGGTAACCGCATGGCCCTCGGCCCTGTGAGACCCGGGGGCCCTTCCCACGCGAGCCACCATTCTGAGCTTGAGTCTGGAACATTCTGGGTTGTACTGACCGGCTGGTGTGTTTCCCCACCCCGCCAGCCCCTCGTGTGCTTTGCCGGCTCCTCCTCAAAGGCTCCCGCCTGCCTTGTCCCCACCAGGCCCGTGTCAGGTGTGTCCTGTGGGCACGACATCCAGGACAGGCCCTCTGCCTGGCAGGTGGCTGTCCTGTGCTGCCAGCCCTCAGCGGAGTTGGCAGCGACCGAGCTCGCTCCTCTCACATGAGGTCCTCAGTGCCGCTGTCTGGTTTCCACCATCACCATCTCCCCGGACACCCATCCTCTCCGGGGACTTTGTCACCCCCAGAGTCTCCAGGGCTGCCCAGTGAGGTGTTAGTCTTTTCCACGGCGTTGGTGTGTGCACAGCAGATGCAGTTTTCTGAGCTCGCAGGGTCCCGAGCTGTCCTTCCAGGTTCTGCGTGGCTGTTGGTAGATTTCAGGCTCTTGCGTGTGCGCTTGTAGGGGATCAGGGTGGACTCACGCTGTGGGCTCCACTGGAGCTGCAGTGCAGGGCACAGCCGTGTGTTCTGTGAATGCTGGGCTTGGAGGCGGTTCCTCGGCCCCACGGCGCTCCTGACCTGCCTCGCTGGCCATATTCCCCTGGACCTGGGTTGGATCCCTGACTGCTTTTGAGCTTTTACTGAGCAAGAACATCCATACGCAAGTGAGCGCTGTCCCGCTCTGCGCACACGAGGGACGAGCACCTGGCTCGAGGGTGGAGCCTCCTGGGCTGGCTGCTGCTGCTGGGCTGGAGGGTTGCTGCCCCAGGTGCTGGTGGGCAGGTTCCAGAACGCGCTTGCACTGCATGTGCTGTGCGTTGTGGTTGTTGGCGTGTGCGTCCCCTTCTGTGCTTTTTCTGGGCTGTCTGATGCGTATGGGCTCTGGACCTGCGTCTGCGGGATCTCCCCCTCTGGGGGCAGCTTTCTCATCCTTAGGTTTCATAGGTTCCAACTTACCCTTTCTTCCCTTTCTGTTCTGTTTCATGGGCCTGTTCAAGGTCTTTACCGATTCTAAGGTTGTGTCTCCTCCGTGTTTCTTAAAGCTTTATTGTTTCGTCTCCTACATTTAGATTTGAGGCCACTCTGGACTGGCGTTTGCATGTGGTGCTGGGGAAAGGCCAGCAGATGCGTCTTCCGTGCGCAGTCCATGCAGCTCCATTCTGGCCAGTGTCACCATGGCCAAAGTTGGGCCACACGTGGGGCTCTCCTCTTGGGTCCTCTGTCCTCCGGGATCTCTGTCTGTAAGCCAGACACAGGCGGGTCTTGTGGGATGTCGTGGTGCTCACGTGACTCCATCTCCAGTTTTATTTTTCTAAGACCATCTTGACTCTTGGCCCTTAGGGTTTCAGAAACCCCTGCAGAATAGTCTCGTCAGTTTGCACCATGGAACCAGCCAGGCATTTGGCCGAGGGTGGCTTGGAGCCTGCGGGTCCACCTGGCAAGGACCGATGTCTGTGATGCTGAGGCTTGCAGCCTTGAGCACTCAGGAGCGCTTTGTGCTTTATGGATTGGAGAAGGGATGCCACACTGTTCCAGCTCTTGGAATTGTTCATTTTTCCTTTCTTTTCTCTCTTGGCATTTCAATTTGGGAAGTTTCTATTGACCAATCTTCAGGTTGACGGATTCTTTCTCTGATGATGTCTAGTCTTCATTTCTGTTACTGTGTGATTTCTGGCATTTCCTTGGATTCTTCCTTAGACTTTCCGCCTCTGCTTTCACTGCCCGTCTGTCCTTGGTGGCACCCACTTTCCCCATCAGAGCTCCTGGCACATTGACGATAGTTGTTTTAAACCCTGTCTGGTCATTCCAACTCTGCACGTCTGAGTCTGGTTTTGGTTTTGGTACCATCTCTCCCAACTGCTTTTTCTTGCCTCTTAGCACGTTTTGTAAGTTTTTCTTGAAAGCCAGACATGTTGTGCTGGTAGCAGGAACTGAGGCAAGTGGGCCTCAGGCCTGTGAAGGTCTGTGTTTGTCTGGCAGGGGCCCCTGTGTGTTTGGTACTGCAGCAGCCTCCAGACCTTTGAACTTCTCCAGCACGTCGTGCCCTTGCCTGGGGCGTCCCTGCACTGTCCCCCTCCGAGGGGGTGCTGGTCCGGGTGCTCTTTGAGAGCGGACCCATGGCCATGACCCTGGAGTCCTGCTGGAGAGGTGGCAGGATGTGGGGCAGTTTGCAGTCATCTGAGCAGACCTCAGCCTTGGGCTCCCTGCTGTCCCCCTGTAGGTATCATGGGCTCAGGCCTGTCCCCTGGACAGGAGACCCTCGTGCTGGAGACGCCCAGGTGCGACTCACAGCAGTCAGCTGCCAGAGTGCAGGGGGCTTTCCAGGTTTATGACCAGGTGAACCTGCGGGGTCCCCCCAAGATGGCACCCCCAGAGTCTTGCCCTCCTGCTAGCTCACACCCGCCTCCGGCAGCTCGTCGAGTCGGCACTCAGGCGTGCCTTCTGCTCTGCGGTGAGCTCCAGCAGCCTCTGCTCCAGGCCAAATCTGCATTTGTCCATCTCCGCATTGGGGGGGGCTCCACTCTGATGAGGCTGCGAACATGCGGCTGTTCCCCGCATGCCCTTAGGGCTTCCCAAACCTGCCTGCCCGCTCCTCGTTCTGACGTCTCGGCGTTGTGGTATGTCGCAAGTGACGGCACTGGGTGCCCGTGGGCTTAAGTTTATGCCACCGTCTTGGTGACCTGACCACTTGGAAATACGCTGCCTGTAAGAATGCACTGTGCCCTCCAGTCTGCTTTGTCTGATGGCAATGCGGCCACACTGGATTTTTGGTTGTCGTTTACACGTTTTCCTTTCTGTGTTTTCTTACATTTAAGTGGACTGCTTATAAATGATAATTAGGTCTTATCTGTTTTTAATCTACTTTAATTATCAACTCGTTGGGAGTGTTTTGTGTCCTCCTACTTACCCTGTGATTACGATTCAGTTGGGTTTACGGCTGCCATCTTTGATTCTTGTCTGATCTCAGTTTTCCTGCGGGTCTTCCAGTGAGGACCGCGGGCGCCCGGCGGCGTAAAGGGAGGGTGGCACCAGCTGCCGTCCCAGCACGTGACCCCCTGCCAGCCTTCCGAGCAGCCTCCTTCCTGCGTCCTGTCAGCTCTTCAGTCTTCCGTCCTCCGGGCACCTGGAATCACGCTGTTATTTCTGGGATGGTTTTCCTGCTCCCCCCTGGTTCCACATGTGTGGTGACTGTGCCTGTCTTCTCTCGGGCCCCCTGGGTGGCACCGTGAGGAGTGGGGACGGCAGGCCAAGCGCAACATGGGCTTTCCAACTAAACGTGCTGTGTATGCTTTTATCAGGAAAATCTGACGCACGGGTAGATGAAAATGGGGGGCGGGGTATCGGGGACCTCCCCGCTGCTCCCCGGGTCGTGTCGGCCACAGGGCTCGGGGGGGCGGTCTGACCTTGTGCTGTGTCCCCCACAGCCTGGCACCCGCTGAGGCCCCCCGCCCACCCAGCAGAGAGGAGGAGCCCGACGATGGTCAGCACGAGACATCTGGACGCGGCGCTGAGGGACTTGGAGATCGTCCCCACAGCAGTGGCTTTTCCTCACACGTGTCCTGGGTGTTGGTGCTTTTGTCTTCATGTCCCTGGGAACCCCCGTCTATAAAATCATGTCCTAAGCAGTTCTGTGTCTCTGTCTCTGACACTGATTCGGAGGGGTGCAGGCGACCGGGCCCAGGTCCCAAGTTCCTCCCCTCCCCCCCGGCCCCGCTGTCGTGCCCAGCACACGTGGGCATTGCCCGTGGCCACCAACCCCTCACAGTTTTGTGCAACCAAAGAATCCTGCCTGAGACGGGCTGTGACCCCACAGGAGAGGCTCGTGGTAGCTAGAGAGGTAGGTGTGTGGGTACCCAGCATCTGCCCCGGGCGGATGGTCTTCTAGGATACTGGGTTCTCTGGAGCCATGTGGGAAGTTCCACAGTTGGTTCCTTCGTTCCCGAAACAGTGCCTCTTTCTAACTGCCCCGAGCAGACCTAACCTAAAGGCCAGCAAGGCTGACGTGCACGGAGGTTCGCCACCTCAGGGCTCACGTGGCCACGCCCCGTATGCTGTCTCGCGGGCTGAGGCCTGGACCGTGGCGTCACGGGCACATCTGGGGCGAAGGTGGTGGCCGTGCTGTGGTCGGGGCCATGAACCGAGGACGGACGGTGTCTGGGCTGGGGAACGAGCTGCCCCCGCGGTGCGTGTGGCAGTGGGGGCCGAGGGAGCCGATGGGTCCTGGCAGGCCCTGGCTGCTGCTTCCTTCACAGGGAGCGGTTTTCTTGCCTGGGCTAAGCTGCTGACTTGTGGGAGCGTTTACCTTCCATGGGCTATGCCTCCTCTCAGACCCCCTGAAAGAGAAAGTCTGGTGTTACTTTGTGGATTAACTTACATTTTATTCAAACCTTAAAACATGCTCCCCTCTCAAAAATAAATAGGGAGCTCTCCATTTTAGATGGAAGACTAGTCAGAGATCCCTCGGCTGGCGGGGGTCATACACCAGGGTCCCAGAGGACTGGGGGGTGGGGAACGGTACCCGCAGAGCAGTGTCTGGACCTTAGCTGCAGAAAGCCAAGCAAGCCGCTTCTGAGAAGCAATACAGTGAACTGTTTTTAGTGTCTTTTTAAAAATCCACAAGATTCAGGGGCGCCTGGGTGGCTCAGTCAGTTGAGTGCCTTTGGCTCAGGTCGTGATCCCGGGATCCTGGGATCGAGCCCCGCATCGGGCTCCCTGCTCTGCGGGGAGCCTGCTTCTCCCTCTCCCACTCCCCCTGCTGTGTTCCCTCTCTCGCTGTGTCTCTCTCTGTCAAATAAAATCTTTAAAAAAATAAATAATAAAAATCCACCAGATTCCAAAGAGAAGCCCTTTTGGAGACCTGGAGCTGGGCGAGCTCACCACAGACCCAACACTGTACTGCACAGCTCTCCCTCACCACTGCCGGCCTGACTGCAGCCCGAGCGGAACCACCCTGACCCGCTGGCTGCACACGGCCCCGCGCCTCTGCTCGCCCTCAGCCACGTCAGCTCCTGACCAGGTTGCAGCTGCGGTTCCCGGAGGGCCCCCCGGGCCCAGGTGGTAGATCTAGGTGAGGGGAGCCCCACACACTCACAGCTTAGAGTGTAGCCAGGAGCAGACCTGTTAGCACAACCAGTGCCTGGGGCCAACATGCAGTGGGCAGCGTGTGGGGCTGCCGTGGAGGGGCTCTGCAGTAGGTGGGCACCAGACAGAGAGGAGCACCTTGTGGCTCCAGAAAGGAAAGAGCTCGGTGAGTTTGAGGAGGAGCAAGAAGCCAGTGTGCCTGGAACAGAATGTGCGCAGGGAGCTGGGAGGGGCCACGTGCACAGCACAAAACCGAACCGAACCTCCCCGTGAGCAGGCACTGGGTCCTGAGCATCGTGTCTGTCGAGCCTGAGACACGAGGGCAGTCTCGTCTCGGTGGCAGTGTGGGGGTAGGACCTAAGGCCCATGCGGAGCTGGGGCCCTGGGTGGCTGCGCCCTAGCAGCGCGGATGAGAATGAGGGGACGGCACCTCGTCACTATCTCCCCCGGAGCTGGGCTGGGGAAGGCGTCTCCTGGAGGTCCGCCTGGAGGACCCTGTGCAGTTCTCAGAACTAACCCGCAAATGTGCTCAAACTGCCGCCCCAACCGGTGGTGCTCCCAGACAGAGGGCAGAAGAGGCAGAAACCTCTCTGAAAGTGTGCGGGCTCATCTCTATGGGCAGAATGGAAAGAACCCAGACCCACGCTCCAGAAGGGTCACAAAGTACACAGACGGAATTATTAGCAAGACTTAATGGAAGCAGACACCAAAAGACTGAGATGTCACAAAATAGGACATCTGTTTTTGAAAGGGCTAGAAACTATCAAGAGATTGGGGGGAAAAGCTCCCTGGATGGATTTAAACAACCAGCTAGACACAGCTGAAGAAATTATCCAGAAAAACAGGAGAGGTTGCAGAAAGAATTTGACTGGTGTGTACAGAGAGTCACGGGGGCTCGTCCCCAGATGCTGGAGCCTGCAGACCCCTCGCGGGGGTAGGAGCACACCCCGCACGTGCGGCCGCAGCGCTGCCCACCCCCTAACCGCAGGGGCCCCGCTGTGCGAGGGAAAGGAACGGTCCACGGGGCAGAACCGCATACGTGGGAAAACCATCACCGAAGGATCACATCCAGATGACACAGGCCTCGAACGCATAGCTAGGTTTTTAGCCTCAGCACTGTTGGCACTCGGGGCTGAGTAATTCCAGGTTTTTTTGGAGGGGGAGAGAATCTCAAGTAGACTCCATGCTGAGCACAGAGCCCGACGTGGGGCTCAGTCTCACCATCCAGAGATTATGACCTGAGCTGAAGCCAAGAGTCGGACGTTCAACCGACGGCACCGCTCAGGCGCCGCTGAGCTAGTCTTTAGCAACATCCCAGATGCCAGTAGCAAAGCCCCTTCCCCACTCGCACAACAAAACTACCGCCAGATGTTGCTAGATTTTGGGGGTGGGTTCAGCCCCAGTGGGAGACACTGCTCTGGTGAATGAAGTGTGGGTGGGAAATGGTCCCGGCTGAGCAGCTCCCAGGGGGTATGCTGAGCAAACAGGAGCAAGCGGCGGGCACACAGGATGAGCAGTGTTTGAAGCAAGCAGGATCTGCAAAACGGACAAGAGTGGCAGGAAGTATTCAGTATAAAAACAAAGGTGTCCGTAAGAGACGCTGAGTGTGAAGCAGGATGCCGGGTCCTCCGGCCTCGGAGCAGCTCCCCCTGCACCATTACTCGGATCGCAGCCCCGGCTTCTCATTCTGACTCCCGCGAGCCCCACCATGAGGCCGCTCCGGGTTACTGGAGCCCACTCGGGATCCTTGCCTTGTTCGTTCGAGCCCTTACCACAGGGTTCCTGCCAGCAGGGTCACCCCTGCCTCCGGCACAAATCCCTAAGGACACAGCATCATCAGCGGCCTTGGTGCTTGGGTCCTGAGACAGGCAAAGCCGAGCCGGCTCCACATCACCCGCAGTCGCTCACAGCTGATGGCGTTTGCTCTCGGCCGGGTTGAGCACTGGGTTTCCCAGGCCTGGGAGACTCAAGGTGCCAGAACACCCGCGAACACGACGCCCTGCCCACTGCCTGCAGCGGCCAGTTCAGGAAGCCAAGCAGTAACCCTGTAGCCAGCAGCCGGAAACAGCCTGGACACCGTCGATAACTGCCGGCTTCCCTGACTCACCCCTCCCGCAACCGGGGACCCACCAGAGGGGGCCAGACATGTTACCCTGACCAACCGCGAGGAGGGCACTGGGGCCCCGGAGCCCCCTTTCCCACGCCCTCAAGCCTCTGCCATCCTCATGGGACCGGCTGATGCCTGCCCTGCCAGCTCAGAGCACACAGCCTCTGTCCTCAGTCGCCGGTCTGTACTTCCACATCGCGAACCAAGTCAGACCCAGGAACTGGGCCCCGGGTTTGCCCAACATCGACAGAATCAGACGTCCACCATGGCGGGACCCGAGCGCCCAGCAGCTGTCGTCCTCGCGTCACAGGTGTCTGTCAGGAGCGTGAGCTAACGAGCTCCTGGCATGACACACGCCATGCGCTGGGCGGTGGCGGTGCCCCCAGGGCAGGGGACGGTCAGGGACACACGCCCCTCAGGCTGTGGGCTCACGGCTCTGCCTTTTGCTGCATGTAAACCACGTCCTGGTTAAAAACACACACACGCCCTGCAGGTGAAGGGCCAGCCCCGTAAGGAAGGGGGCTTGCTGGGCATTTGGTACACCTCCCATCTCGCATGCTCCCCCTCAGGGCCGTGGACCACCCCTCCTTAGCACCCTCAATCCCACGTACCTGGGGGCAGCTGCCGTGGGCCCATCAGCTGAAGTGAAGGAAGTCCCGGCCTTCCTGCAGGTGCAGTGACCTCAGGTTGTCTTCAAATGCACCCCCGGTGAGGTCCTGTGGGAGGAACAGCATGTCTGGCTTGATCCAAGCCTCCCCCAGCCCGCACTGGGACCCCCAGAGGCCCTCCCAAGGGGGCCTGGGGTGGTCGCCTGTGGCCACCTGTTACGTGGTCCACCATGAACTTCTCTCTTGAGAGGGGCTGGAGATGGGGGGGGAACATTGTGAGAAGTTGGCCACAATGTCCTGCTGGTCTTCAGTGGGAGGGAGGGGTGGGGGGGTCCCCTGAGGCATACACACCCCCCAGCTCAAACTTGGTCCCTCCCTGCAAAAGGTAGCTGACACAAGGACTAAGGGAAGGAAATGACCCCCACGGGCAGCTCTGCTTCACCCATCTGCCCTGGGCACACCAGCTTTGCTTTTTGTGCCTCGTCCTGGGGCCCCCATGACACCCCTGCCCCCCTTTGCAGGGGTCTGAACCCAGACTCAAAGAAATGTCAATAGACTCCTTCCTGCCCCCGCCAGGGGAGCAGCCTGGGATGACACGTGTCGGCCTCTCACGGTTCCACGGGGCTGGATTGCGGGCCTGGCCGTGGCCCAGGGGCCCTGAGTGAGTCTGCCTCACGGCCAGTCCGGACAGCCTCTCCCACAGTTGGGGGGCTTCCCCAAAGTGGCCCCATAGCAAAGGGCAGAGTCCAGCCTCTCGAAGCCGCGCCTCCTGCCCCACCTGGGGCCCTTCTCGGGCCACTGCCCCTGCCGGACCAACGTCTGCGTTCTGGGGTCACAGCCTGGCGGGGTCGCCCTCCGTGGGGGCACCGTCCTGCCTGGCACCCTGCACAGACATGGTGGGCAGCTCAATAAAGTCCAGTCAATGCCAAAGAGGTTGGGGTCTTAACCAGCCGCCAATGAAGAGGGATGCTCCCCTCCCTGCCTCCCTCCACAGGTTTGTTCTAGTCCTCCTGTGTGCAGGCTTACGTCCCTGAGCCCAAGGCTGGACGCAGGGGTGGGCAGGCGTGTCCTGCGGGTCTCCTCCCTGATGTTGACAGACTCTGCCTCCCTTCTGCAAAAGCTGCCGCCTCCATGAAGGCTTCTGGTGTCTGGTGACTGAGGTTCCAGCCCAATCTCATGGTTGGAAGCTGGTGAAGTGGCCGCGTGTGTCCCCCACGACCCCCAGCAGAAAGCACAGGGCCCTTGCCACCCATCAGCCCCCATCCCCTCTGGGGGACCTACTGGGGCAGGGCTGAGCCAAACTGGCCCCGTAGCTGGGACTCCAAAGTAAAAGATGACACTTTACATTTGTATGTGTGTGTACACGAGAATATGTCTTTCTGACCATGAAGAACGATTTCCTAAACAGGACACTAAAAGTGTTCATCGTAAGGAAAAGGTTGATGAACGCCGCTGCGTTAAAAGTAACTTTATCTGGGACGCCTGGGTGGCTCAGTCGTTGAGCGTCTGCCTTCGGCTCAGGTCATGATCCCAGGGTCCTGGGATCGAGCCCCGCGTCGGGCTCCCTGCTCAGCGGGAAGCCTGCTTCTCCCTCTGCCACTCCCCCTGCTTGTGCTCGCTCACTCTCTCAAATAAATAAAATCAATCTTAAAAAAAAGCTTTTTCTGGAAGAACCTGTGAAAAGGCAAGTCTCACGTGGGAAGAAGTATTTGCCACTCCAACCGAGGAAGGACTGGCACCAGAGTGTGCAGAGCTCCTGGAAATTACAAGGCCAGAGGCGCCCGAGGGCACCGCCCAACTGAGCCCTTGTCCGGCGGGATAGGCTGGGACAAGCCCTCGCGTGGCCTCACGAGGACGTGTGCATGGAGGGCACCTTCCGAGACCCTTCACACCTGCTCCAAAGTCACAGGAACGTCACAGCTGTGCCCTGTTGCAAGGCCGGAAATGACCAGGCCTGCGGTCAGATGTGGGATGTTAGTCAGGAATGAGGAATTCAGTCATCCGGCCACACAGGCCAGCCTGACACGGGCAAGCAGCCCGGCCTCGTGCCCCAGGCCTCACGCCGTGTGACCCCAATGGAGCTGAGAGGCGGGCGCAGCACAGCCCAGCGCCCATGCCCGTGACCTCAAGGGAAAAGGCAAGGATATGGGGGGGGAAGTCTCCGGACAGCCCTGGGGGCGGAGGCCGCGGTGCTTGGTCAGAGGTGCTTCTCAGCGACGCTTTTACTGCCCACAGCCCCTCGTCTCTGCCAGAGCACCTGATGAGGCCCCGGAATGTGCCCCACGTCTGGCACTTAGCAAGTTTCCAAAAAAAGTTGCTCTTACAGAAATGTAGCCCATTTTTTGAGGGCACCATGGTGGCCTCTTCCAACATCCTGGGCAGCCTCCCGCCCTAGTGTACAGCTTGAGACAGGTGGCCCAAAGCAAGGGCATGGATGTCTGGCTGCATGTCAGACGTCTGTGATCCCACAACTGGGGGCTTGTACCAGCCACACGGTCATGTGACCCCCGCCACGGCCATGGCTAACACTTACCAGCTTCACGCAGATGACGAAAGGTGGCCGGGCAGCTCGGAAGTGCAGGATTGGAACCCGAGGCTTAGGCCTTTCCTGAGAAACAAGAGGTGTTGTGGGCTGGGGTCCATGCTAGTCCCATGGGACGCCCTGCCGTGCTGGACCGACCCCTCACCCCTGCCCAGCTCCGAGGTGCACGGCAGATGCACAGACCTGGGCCAGGCGGGGACACAGGCCACTCTGGGGCCCGAGACCCCCAGGAGATGGGGGCCGCTGCTGCTGGGCCTGCAGCTGTCCAGGCACAGGCGGCCTTCCCCAAGGAGGAAGGTTCTGGGCAGTGGCCCCTCCTTGTCCCCTGGGACAGAGCTAGGGGTGGTGTGAGCAACCCATGTGGGACCGAGGCCCTCCCTGGGGTCCTGGGTCTCACACACCTGAGAGTCCTCGTGGCAATAGAAGCCTTTCCTGATCTTGTTCTCGTCCACGTCACAGAAGGCAACCACCTGGGGGGGGGGCACAGGACACCAGCCTCAGGGACGGGGGGTCCGGGGGGACAGAGCTGCTGGGCTGGATGGAGGGGGGCCCACCTTGCGTCGTGTCCCGGCCATCAGGCTGCGGTAAAGCCGGCGGCCCTGCCTGCCCGCGTTCCAGATGGTGAAAGCTGCCCAGTGCGGCAGGACCCGTTCTTCCAGGAAGCGGACACGGTGGGTCCAGATGGTGGTCCTGGGGGGGGGAATGGGGCGGTGAACCAGGTGGGCAGGGCCTCTAGCTGCGCCCAGACCTCCCTCCCCACCCAGCCCTGGGCACAGCAGGGCACGTTCTGGGGACCTCCTCTCTCCAGAGTTCACGAGGTACTGGCTTGATGGATGAATGAGGGAACGAACAAACGAACTGCGCTCGCACTGCCTCACCCACCCTCACAGCCCCACGTGGACCCTAGGATGTGCTCTTCTCACGTCCATGTGCTCAGAGGCCTTGAGGGATGCCAGGCACAGACCCTGGGGAGCCTGAGGGCGATGCAGTCACCCCGACGTCCGGTGAGCTCGGGTGCGAGGTCTCACGGCTCCGCTTCCTGCAGCAGCTGCCCAGACCGCCGGGTGTTCTGACAGCTGGGCCGTGGGCGCACCGGGGCTGGCGGGGAGTAGCTCCCCGACCCCGGCCGTTAGCGCTTCCAGAGCATTCCACAAGCTCCAGACGGTCCAGCCCACGGCCAGGCACGCACAACTCTGGCAACACCCAAGAAGCGGAAGTTTAGGAACGAGAGACCAGGGACGTGCACGTGAGTTCTGGTAAATGGGAAATCCTGAGGACGACGAAGGACAGGGAGCTTCGGAGAGTCACTGCTGACGGTTTTCGCCTTTCAGGTGGAGGACGTGCCGGGACAGCCCATGTCAGGAAGCACTGTGTGGGGTCCCCACCAGTAGAGGGATGTGCACGGCTCAGCAGCGGCTTCCTCTCCTGTCCCCAGCCCTGGTGGAGTTCTGTCAGCACAGGGTCGGGACACTTCTCGAGTATTCCTTCTCTTTAAACAGTCCGTGCTCCTCAGCGTGAGGTGCAGATTGAAGGAAATGCCCATCACGATGTCTCAAGGGGTCTGTGGACGTGACCAAGGGGAAGGCGGGCCCCAGTCCAGACCCCAGGAGCTCAGGCGCCCGCTGGGGGGTGCGGGCCTGCTCTGCGGACACTGGTAGATGATGAGCCGACACAATTTAGAGATGGCCACAAACACACCTGCTTTGTGGGCCGCAAAGCACTTCCGGCCACCGGCCCTGTTCCTGCTCAGGAATGCCATCTTTCCCGGTGCTTTTAAGTTCGGACCCAATCAGGAAGATTCCTCGATAGTCTCCTCACTTGCTGCAGGGCAGCAGTGTCCCCCAGCAGGGGCTGCAGCGAGCGGAGCGGTTTCCCCAAACCCACAGACGTGCCCCCTGGTGGCCGCGGCCCCCGACGCAGAATGGGGGGTGTGCCGGCCCGGCTGGAGTCAGCCCCGCTCCGCAAGCAGGACGGCAGAAAGGCCTTGGGAGGAGGTGGCCTGGAGACAGGCAGCACCCTGAGGTCACGCATGAAGGGGCAACCGAGAGGCTGAACGGAAAAGCAGTTTTCGGGGAGAAAGGCAGGATGCTACCGTGGACATGACGTTTTTAAACAGGTAATGCATATTGTTCAGGGAGACACTGCTCACACCCCGGACAGCGCTGGCCTTGCTGAGGGGCTGGGAAAGGCAGCCGGGTGCAGGACGTCGGTCCTCCGTGTCTCTGTCTCTGGATGTCTTAAGTATTTCATAATGAACGATGTAAATGCTGACCGTTCTTGGTTTAAAACAGAAAGAACAGCAACCAGGGAGTGCTTTCATAGGAGGGCTTCTGGGCAGAGAGTTTGAAGAAATTCAATTCTCAACAAGCCTGAAGGTGTAATTAAAGCTCATTACTCTGTGAGGTTTTGCCACTCACAGCACAAAGATTTTAATCCAGTACAGAAACTACATGAGATCACTTCTTTTGTGTTGTGGGTGGCAAAGCCTCACGCTGCAAAAAAGAAAGAAACCGCTCAACATAAAAGAGACTGATCCCATGCGAACAAGATGAGGACTTGTGGGGACAAAGCCCAGTTGCCTGTGGCCTGGCCCCTCCTGGACACACAGGCTTCTGCCACAGCGTGGGCCACCACCAATTCCTACAGAGAGATCCCTTCAATGTGTCTTCAGAGAATCTAACATGAGAACACACAGACAGGAACATTCATGATGATGATGACAGAGGAGATCCCCAAAGTCCCACACCTCACAGCCTGCAGGAGATCCCCGAAGTCTCACACCTCACAGCCTGCAGGAGATGCCCGAAATCCCACACCTCACGCTCTGCAGGAGATCCCCAAAGTCCCACACCTCACAGCCTGCAGGAGATCCCCGAAGTCTCACACCTCACAGCCTGCAGGAGATCCCCGAAGTCCCACACCTCACAGCCTGCAGATCCCCGAAATCCCAAATCTCACGCTCTGCAAGAGATCCCTGAAGTCTCACACCTCACAGCCTGCGAGAGATCCCAGAAGTCCCACACCTCACAGCCTGCAGGAGATCCCCGAAGTCCCACACCTCACAGCCTACAGGAGATCCCCGAAGTCCCACACCTCACAGCCTGCAGGAGATCCCTGAAGTCCCACACCTCATAGCCTGCAGGAGATCCCCGAAGTCCCACGCCTCACAGCCTGCAGATCCCCGAAATCCCACACCTCACGCTCTGCAGGAGATGCCCGAAGTCTCACACCTCACAGCCTGCAGGAGATCCCGGAAGTCCCACACCTCACAGATCTAATTTCCATCTAGTTCTATCACCCAACACTGGTTCTAATTTTCTATTAGCGCACACTTGCTGGAATTCCTCTATGGACTAGTTGTCATTACGAATGGCAGAGACGAATCCTGCCTGTTGGAGTGCTTCGTGTAAGCGGAATCCCACAACATGCATGCCCTTGTGCCTTGCTTCTTTAATAAGCAAACTGCTTTGGCATTCATCCCTCTCTTTTAATGCTGAGCAGCATTCCATTACAACCTCCATTCACTTGATGGACATTTGGGTGGTTCCCAGTTCTTGGCAATATTAATAGTGATACGTTGAACAATGTTTTCACTTCTCGTGCATTAAATACCTAGACATGGAATTGCTAGGTCACAGGGATATTAGTTTAATAAAAAAGTGCCAGTTTTCCAGAGACGGATGTACCATTTACAGTCCTGGGAACAGTGTGTGACCATTCTGCTAGATCCACACCCTTGCCACCATTTGGAATTGGCAGATATTAATTTTAGCCCTCCTGCTGGGTGTGTAGTGGGTTTATATTATTTATATATTACATATTATTGTTTCGTGAAATGTATTATAAAGTATTTGCCTGTTTTTATGACACTGTCTTTGTTGCTGGGATTCTTTACGTGCCTCTTACTTGGTTCTCCTTCAGACACATGGATTGTGAATATCCCCATTCAGTCTGCAGTTTGCCACTCATGTTCTTAATGGTGTCTTTTTATGAATAAATGTTTTTAATTTTGATAAATCCACTTTATCACTTTTTAAATGGTTAATGATTCTCATGTCCTTGCTGGTAAGTTTTTGCTGATCCCAAAGTTGTGAAGGTGTTCCCTGTTTCCCTCTAGAAGCTTTCTATTCCAGTTGTTTCTAGGTTTATATCAAAGATCCAACTAAAATGAGCGTTTCTATGGGGCGCCTGGGTGGCTCAGTCGTTAAGCGTCTGCCTTTGGCTCAGGTCATGATCCCAGGATCCTGGGATCGAGCCCCGCATCGGGCTCCCTGCTCGGCGGGAAGCCTGCTTCTCCCTCTCCCACTCCCCGTTTGTGTTCCTACTCTCACTCTTATCTCTGTCAAATAAATAAATAAAATCTTAAAAAAAAAAAATGAGCGTTTCTATATGGCATGAGACTCTTGTTCTTTCCTTCTTCTTTTCCCACGTGGATATCCAGTGGTTCCACTTGTTGAAAATATCTTCCCTTTTCCATTAAATGCCTTTGGAGACTTTGTTGAAAATCAATCTATTGTACAATTTTCAATGTATTTCTGGATTCTCCATTTCCCTGGTCTCTCTTGATGCTGTTGCTGTGTTTCCTGGGAACTGTGAGTCCTCAAATTTTACTCTTTTCAAGGTTGTTGAGGCCATCCTGGGTCCTTTAATTTTCCACGTGAATTTAAGAATCAGGTTATCAATTTCTGCAAAGAAGTTCAATCCACAGCTCAGTTTGGGGAGAACTGATATCAAAGTCACCAAATCTTCCAACCCATGAAGGTGGCGTCCCTCAGTCCCTGTTATGGGCTTTCTTTAATTTCCCTCTGCACTTTCTTGTAGTTTCCAGAGGACATACGCACCTTGTCACATTTACCCACAAATACTTTATTTTTGATGCCATCATACATGTTTCTTAACTGCTATTTTTAGTTGTTCATTGCAAATGTGCAGATTGTGTGCTTTAGTGAATCCCACAAATTTTGACATACCATTTTAATTTCATCAAATTAAATTTTTTTAATTTCCTTTGTGATTTTTTCCCCTTGGTTGCTTAATTTCCAAATATTTTAGATTTTTAAGATATGTTAATGACTTCTAATTTAATTCCATGTGGTTGTAAAACATACCTTGTATGATTTTAATCATTTGAAATGTATTCAGAGTTGTCTGTCTTGCACCTTAAAGGAATGTATTCTGCAGCTGAGTGTCATGTTCTGTAAATGCCAGTCAGGTCAAGGGGTTAATTCCAGTCCTCTGGACCTTGCAGAATTCCCCTGCTTCTCTCAGTCACTGAGATGGGCTTGAAAACCTCCAACTGTAATTATGGAGGTAATCTGTAATTTGTCTACTTCTGTCTGGTTTTGTTCACGCGCCTGGAGACTGATGAGACGTACACGCACACATCCGGGACTGCTCTGTCCTGTGACGAGACCTTTACCCCACGGTGCAAATCACACTCGCACTGAGTGAGCTTCATGACAACAAACCCCAAACAATGATGCTCCACTAAAGCTACTGTATAAAAGTTCAGGTTTAACAGTAAATAACCAAAATCAAGTTCTTTGGCTGAAAGCTGGAAAACAACGCAGCTAAATTTCAACACACATGCCAATGTCCGAGGACCTACTGAGTCAATCTGGGGCCCCCCAATGACGTTGCACAAACCGGCACCCCACCCCTCCGTGCAGGTAGACGTCAGACCTCCCCAA